TTGCCTGGCACAGCTGTGGGCGGCCTGCGGTAATTGCAACTGTGGGCGGGGGGAGAAGAAGAAGAAGAAGAAGAAGAAGAAAGAGAAGAAGAGGAAGAAGAAGAAGAAGAAGAAGAAAGAAGAAGAAGAAGAGAAGAAAGAGTTCGAAAGAAAAAGAAGAAAAAAGAAAAAAGAAGAAAAAAAGAGTTCGAGAAAGGGAAGAAGAAGCAAAGACGAAAAAGAGTTCGAGAAGAAGAAGAAGGCGAGACCGAGAACGAACAGAAAAATAAGAAGTAAAAGGCGAGAATGAAGAGAGAGAACGATAATAAATAAATAAAAATAGAAGAAAATAGACAAAACCACACAGTTGAAGAAGAGGGGAGATTGATAGCCAAGTCGGTACCTGTGACAGCGACGGCGGCGGACGCACTTAAGGGCCAAAGAGGATTGACATTAGTAAGGAATGAAGGAGGTGAAGAGGGGAGAAGGGAGGTGGAAGAGGGAAGAGGGAGGGGAGGGAGAGGGGAAGGGGAGAAGGGAGGGAGGGGAGGGGGAAGAGGGAGGGGAGGGAGAGGGAAGGGGAAGAGAGGGATGGGAAGGGGGGAATGGAGAAGGGGAAAGGAGGATGAGGGGGGAAAGGGGAAGGGAAGGGGGGGAGGAGAAGGAAGAAAGGGAGGAGGAATAAAGGGAGATAAGGAAGGAAGGGAAGAGGAGGATTATGTGGAGGGAAGGGAAGGGAGAAAGAAGAAGAAAGAGGAGAGGAGGAAGAAGAAAGGAGGAAGGAGGAGGAAGAAGAAGAAAAGGAGGAGGAGGAGGAAGAAGAGAGAGGAGGAGAGAAGAAGAAAAGGAGGAGGAGGAGGAGAGAAGAAGAAAAAGGAGGAGGAGGAGAAGAAAAAAGGAGAGGAGGGGGTACTCGTCTCATCCACACTAATGCGTTCGAAACACCGCCCGACTCGTCCACCTTCCGAGACCGAGCACTTTGCATATCACCGAACGCTCGACGCTTATCATTACTTACGCGTTTTTTTTTTTTTTTTTTTTTTTTTTTTTTTTTTTTTTTTTTTTTTTTTAGGCGGGACAGTTTTTTTTTCTTCTTCCTTACGCAGGATTTTTTTTTTTTCTTTTTTACACGGGGCAATTTTTTTTATCTCTCTCTCAGCTGAAAGAATCACCAAATGGGTATATTTCTGCGTAATTTTCATAACGAATAGCCTTTTTGCCTTAATCCCTCTTTTGGTTAAACGCTAAACTATTTTCATACGTAGACACGACCGTCATAAATAATAATAATAAAACTAAAATTAAAACATAATAATATAAATAAAAATCCACCACTGCTAAAAAATAAAAAAAAGAACAACAAAAGAACCAAAAAATAAATAAAAAAGGAAAAATGAGAGGGAAGGAGATCAACGCCATCTTGTGGCGTTAACCGGCAGCGGCGACGTGGGAGTTCTTATGGCGGAGTTACCGACGCGTTACGCCATTGTCATCGACGACGAGCGATCTGGAGCAGATGGACGGACGGGGGCGGGGGGGGCGGGGAAGGGAGAGTGAGGTAGGGGGCGCGGGGGAGATGGGAGAGGTTGGGGGAGTGGAGGAGGAGGGGTATGAGGAGAGGGGGGGTGTTGGGGATGCGGGTGGGGAGAGGGGGAGATCTTGGGGAAGTGGGAGGGGAGGAGGGTATCAGGGAGTGGAGGGTGGGATGCGAGGAAGGGGTTTGTAAGGGAAGATGGGAAGGATTGTTGAGAAGCGGGAGGGGGAAGGGAGAAAGAAAAAGGGGAAGGAGATCGAAAAACCGTCACCTCCTCCTCTTCCTTCTCCTCCTCCTCCTCCTCCTCCTCCTCCTCCTCCTCCTCCTTTTAATTCGACATTATATTTATCAAGAAGAGGGTAATTTGATCTGTCTTTCCTCGATGGAGAATTTTGCGATTCGCCCGTCGCCGGCCTCTCTTTCTCTATATCTGTCTATCTATTCATCTATCCTGTTTGTCTGTCAGTGTGCCTATCTATCTATCTTAAAAAAAAAAAGTGTGTGTTGTGGTATGTGTGTTAAATAGATACAATATATATATATATATATATATATATTATAATATATATAAATATAATAATATAATATATATATATATACAACATATGCATGTATATTTACATACATACACACACACACACTTCACACACATCACACACACACACACACACACACACACACACACTCATCTCTTCTCCTCCTCCCCTTCCTTCCTCCTGCCCTCCTCCTCCTCCTGTCCCTCCTCCCCTCCTCTCCTACATCAGCTACCACCCTACCCCCTATCCTCCTCCTCCTCCTCCTGCCCTCCTCCTCCCCCTCCTACATCGGCTACCGCCCTTATCTCCGATCTTTATTGCCCCTTCGCCATCCCTGCACCTCTTCACGCGCGTTTAAAGGTATTATTTTTCAGCCTGACTTTGGTCCAGTCTTATTATGGGAGCGACTGCCTAAAGACCGGCCGGTGTGGAGATTGCCACGAATGCGGAATACTCTTTGGGGAGGAAGGATGGGGAGGATGGGAAGGATGGGGAGGTGGAGAGGAGGAGGGAGGGATGAGGAGGAGGGAGGATGGGGGAGGAAAAGGAGGGGAAGGCGAAGATGATATGGGGATGGAGGAGGAATCGGGAGGATGGGAGGAAAGAGGGATAGAGAGGAATGGGGGATTGGGAGGGAGGGAGGAGGGAAGCTGAGGGAAAATAGGAGTAAGAGAGAGGAAAGAAATGTCATGTTCATCTGATAGCTTATAAAGACTAGTGGCTTTCTGAGCGCAGAGGAAATTGTTGTATCTTGTTTTATTGTTGTTGATTTTTCGCCCTTTCTCTTTTTTATTTTATTTTTTTTTTACTGTGTGTGTGCGGGCGGTCGGAGGGGAGGGGAGAGAGAGGAGAGAAGAGAAGAGAGAGAGAGAGAGAGAGAGAGAGAGAGAGAGAGAGAGAGAGAGAGAGAGAGAGAGAGAGAGAGAGAGAGAGAGAATTCTTTATATAATCCAACCATTCATCTCGCCGAAGCATCGAGTTACCCGCGATTCACAACGTAACACTTTCAGTTCATGTGTCACTTCCTGCCCAAGCGACAGTCTGATTTTCCCGCGTGATACCGTGATACCAGAGACCCTGGCGAGGCTGCAGACGCTTTCCGTTTTGGGAAAAGTAGTTAGATAATCCCCGCCCACAACAAATACCACCTCTTCCCCCCTGAGGTTCGAGTTCTTTATTTTCCTGGAAGCCGAGTTCGAGGTCAGCAAAGCCGGGGTTCGGGGATTCGGTTGCGAGTCGGACGCTCGAACGCGCGAAAACCCGCCATTCGAGACGGACTTAACAGAGGTCCAAATGGCTCCTCCAGCGCCACCTACCTCGTCCCGGCGCAGGTTGTATATAAGCCCTGGAGTCCCAGGAATCTATACGCGTCCATTAATGTCTATATCATTATCACAAAGGGCAGATCCAGTTGCCAAATTTGGATTAAATCGATACGAAGGCGAAATCATTTTATAGCCCCGGTCTCTCAATTTACACAGCGCTTCCGTGCATTTTACAGAGCGTAATATCAGTGCGCGAAAGATATTGCTTCCACGTATAAGGACGGTCGCGAACTCCGACTGGTAGTACACATTGTTCTACAACGGCGAAGAATCTCGACGGGAATATTCACAAATGAGTTGACACTCTACCGAGGTTTCGCTCCAAGATCTTCGTTTTACTCTGCCAGATCCTTTTGCTGATATCAACCGCTTTATCTTCGTTTCCTCGTTTTTTTCCCATTATCTCGATCATTTTCAGGACACCTCCATTCTGCCCGGACATCTGCAGGCGCTACGGTACCGCATTCCCCAAGGTATTGTCTCGTTCCATTGGGAAATCATCGGAATGTCGATTAGGTTATCACACACGGCGTCCCAGCGCTTCCTTCATGCCTTCAATAAGAGCGGCCTACACTCCCCGGCGCCGTCCTTCGGGTCTCGCCCAATTCCCCTGTGGTTCTTTTGGAATTCGGACACGCCGAGGACACGCCGCTCTTCTGCTTTTTCCCTGCCGCTGGTACCGTCGTAAACAATTCACATTAATTCGTATTTACAACCCAATAACTCGGATCTAGTTCGTGGGGAATATTCAGTCTCTTTAAACGAACAGAAAACCGTAGGGTCCGTGATTGTTAACATTCCGAAAGTGCCGTTTCCAGCGTTTTGAAATATTGTTTACGGATGAGCAGCCCGTTTCACCCGAGACGATGGCGGCGAGACGGAGGGGGGGGGGGTCCACTACACCGCACCAGACCCGCCAAAAAAAAAAAAAAAAATCGGTTTAGCTATAGTTGATCGGACGACTCGCCAGGAAAAATGCAAATGACTAACACCGCAAGTCGTAATGGAGAAGTCGGGTTGAGCGGCGTTGCCATGGAGACGAAGGAGCAAGAAGCCCCCAGAAGCGGCCAGGCGGTGGTTCGCTGACGTGGCCATGATCGAGTGGCGCTCGTGACGGGCTGCGTTAATATCTTGCGCTGGAGGTTTTAAGTTATGCGGACTGTGAGGATATGTGAGGATGGGTGGGGGGAGGGAGGGGAGGCAGGGGAGGAGCGGCCTCATGCTAATAATGATGATAAATAGAAAATTGTGACGCGAGTGCATGGTTACTTACATATAAAGAAAATATGTATGCATGATATATATAATATATATATATATATATATATATATATATATATATATATATATATATATAATATATATATATATATATATATATATACATACATATGTATGTATGTATACATACATATATACATACACACATATATATGTATGTGTGTGTGTGTGGTGTGTGGTGTGTGTGTGTGTGTGTGTGTGTGTGTGTGTGTGTGTGTGTATCAAAGTGTACGCCTATCCATAACCACAGCGTTCAGCCTCAGACGACCAACAGCAACGCAGACCGAACCCCCAAACCCCATCAGCCTGAACCGATCCCCGCGCACCTGAAGGCCGGGCACTCACCTGTGGTAGTCGTCCCGGCAGAAGATGTGTCCGTCGCGGGCGAAGCAGGTGACGGCGGCGTCGAGGGAGGTGTGGCAGGCGACGCAGCGCAGGCAGCCGGCGTGCCATTTCCGCTCGACCGCCAGCAGGTAGAATCGGTCGACGATCCTCTCCGAGCAGCCGGCGCAGAAGGAGGTCTCGTTGCTGCCTTCCCCGCTCGAGGAGATGCTCGAGATCCCGCCGCCGGAGGACAAGCCCGTCCCTGGGGATCCGATACCTGAGGAGCGGAGAGGAGGTCGTTAGAGAAGGGCGCGGAGGGCAGGCGGAGGCCTCTCGCCTGGCCCCCGAGACAGATTTTTAGATCCCGTCGGCGGAGGAGTGCGGCTCCGGGACTCTTTTTCCTTCCTGGGATGACGATAAAACGCGTCTTTTTGAATTAAGAAGCAAAAACGTCAGAATAACTATCACACCTTGAACTCAACAAAACTTTAATAAATAATCCGCGCCAAGGGCCATCCCGGCGAGTAACGAGCCCAAATCAGCAAAAAGGGCAGCCAAAATAAAGTTAGACCCAAAGGCCGCTCGTTATAAAACGATCAGTAACGAATGCAGGACTTTAACGCGCGTGTAAGCGGGTCGGCGTAATGGCCCGGCCTGTCTCGTCCCTCATGCTTTACACCTGCCCGTACTCGCGTCCTCGCCCCATAAACAGGTCCTCACGAGCTCCTTTATTTCCCCCGGACCCTTTTCGTATCCTTCATCCGGGCCATCACTTTCGCCTCCCCCGGGGAATGAAAAGAAAATCCCAATTAGGCCTCCCGTCCCCGTGTCCACTCGCGAGACGAATAGGACGATGGAACGGGTGCAAATCCGCCGCCCCCGCCCACGGTCCCACCCACCTCGTCCGCGACTCTCCATTATCTCTCGTTTAAAACTTCATGTTGATAGCTCGCAAGTCCAGAAAGTATCGTAGCATAACTGATGGCCAGCAGCTAATTGCGCGGCCGGCTGTATAAAAGCGGCTTTATGGCCTATATTGTGGCCTCATGAGACGCTGCGGTTATGAATCGTGCATACCAAGTTGGCAATTGAAGGACGCGCAGGATTCGCGGCCCCCGACGCTCCTGGCCGCTGGGGGGGGGGTCATTAGAGGCTGCCCTCGGGATCGATGGGGGAAGAGGGGATGGGGGGGGAAACGGAGAGGAGAAAAGGAAGGAGGATGAAGAAGGACGGGGACGGAAACGAGGAGAAAAGAGAGAGAGAGGGGGGGGGGGAACAGTTTAAGGGAAAATGATGATGAACGCAGGGCAGTGGAAACATAAATGATACTAGGAGGAGAGAATTAGAGAGAAAGAGAAAGGAGAATAAAAAAAAAAGACCAGACAGGAATGAACGAACCGAGAGCTCTATGCCTAAAGAGTGATCCAGAACAAGAGAAAACCGGAAAGAATGAAAAGGGAGGCGAACGACGTGTAAAATTATCGAATACGATCGCATAAAACACAACTTTCATGGAACCAACACAATGATAATATAAACTATCGGACAGTAAAGTTCACGGGGATCATAAACTACCCTAACTGCTGAATGCTTAATAACTTCTGTGCGCGAGGATAACAAGGTTTTTTATAGGGATTAAACAACTCTTCTCAACCGTTCCCGCAGGATGTGGTATTACATGCATAGAATGATGACAACAGTTCGATTAAGTTATTACCGTAATAAACATTCATAAATTCTGTAATGCGCGTGTGTTATGGCCAGTTTATGTATTTTTTATTGCTTATTTATTTATGTACGAGTATTTATATGAATTATCTCTTTTTCTTTGTATGTATTCCTTGTGATCTTATAACTATTAAACCTTAAGCTATGTTAACAGTATATAAACCAAAAACATGCATTTCTACAATAACCCCGCTGGTGCCTTCTCCCCTCCCCCGCCCCCGGACTAGCGACGGCACCCTCTTCCCCCCCCATCCCCACCCCCACCCCACCCCCGTGCCCTCTCTTCCCCTCCCCCACCCACCACCCCGGCACCCTTTCCTTCCCCCTACCCCCCACCCCACCCCACCCCGACGCCCCTTCCTCACCCGTGGACCCCGCGTCCGATCCTGGCGACACGTAGTTGTTCCCGCGGTCGCTGCAGGGGCTGACGAAGGACGCTGGGCCGCCCGAAGACGAGGATCCGGCCGAGGAGTTGGACGAGGAGGAGGAGGACGAAGGCGTGAGTGGTGCTTGCTCGTGGGCGCTGGCCTGGTCGTGGGCGTGGGCGTGGTCGTGGAGCTGAGGCATGGTGGGCGATGGGTCACAGCCGGGGTCGTAGGCACCCTCAGAGGACCCGTACTGCTGCGAGGGAAGGAGAGAAAAAGGGTTAGTCGTTGTTGGGGCTTTTTGCGGGCATCAGTCTCTGTCCAGACGCTCTTTTTGTGCTCCGAGGAGACAACCTCGAGATGAACATGAACAAATACATAAACATAAGAGAGATGATGATGTGTAAAAGGCATAAATCTTAAAAGAAAAAAAAACGCGAATAAAAAGAGAAATATATATATATATATATATATATATATATATATATATATATATATATATATATATATATATATACCACGAAAAAAATATACGAACAGCGAAAAATAAATTGCAAACTCTAAGCAACTCGGAAGAATCAAAGGGAATATCTACCTTCACCGAGACATAACACAAAAAAGTAATAAAAGAAATAAAAATCCCAAACACAATCCAATCACGAGAACCCTCCCGCCGCCGTGAGAAAGGATGATAAGACCCGCACGCAGGACCCAAGACACGGGGCGCAAACTGTCCCCGGGGAAGGAAGCCTTTCCCGCCCGCCGCGGATTCCTCCCAAGGTCGTGCTGTTTCCTGTCAGCCTCACTGTCGCCATTGTTCGCTCCCGACTCTGGGTTTCGTCCGCGGGGGAGAGGAATGCAGGAGGAAGAGGAGAAGGATAAAGGGGAAAAAGAGATAGAGAGAGAGGGGGGGGGAGGAGGGGAGGAGGAAGGGAGGAGGGAGTAGAGAGAGAGAGAGAGAGAGAGAGAGAGAGAGAGAGAGAGAGAGAGAGAGAGAGAGAGAGAGAGAGAGAGAGAGAGAGAGGAGAAGGGGAGGAAGGGAAGAAGGGAATGAGGGAGGGAAGGAGGAAAGAAGATGAGAGAAGAGAGAGAGATAGAGAGACAGAGAGAGACAAACAAACAGAAATGGAGACAGACAGACAGGAAGACGAGAGAGAGGAGTCGAGCGAGCAGCAAATGACCCAGAAAGGCAGGAGGCCGCGCGACGCCACGGTCCCCCGCGCGTGCACCGCCTACCGAGGAAGGGTATGCAAATGTCTCTGCGGCGCGCTGGAACATGTGTCGGCGACGAGGAGGTATGACGGCCCTGCATGTCGGCGAGATGTTATCCCCGCCGCAACACGTGTGCGTTAAGTGCTGGCTGTCGCGCCCGCCCGCCCGCAATTCGAGGCTTGAGAGATTGCTTCATGTACGGCGGGCGTGGGCGGAAGAAGGTTGGGGGGTCAGAGGTGTTGAAGGGTGGGAGGGGTAGGGTTTGTGTGTGTGTGTGTGTGTGTGTGTGTGTGTGTGTGTGTGTGTGTGTGTGTGTGTGTGTGTGTGTGTGTGTGTGTGTGTGTGTGTGTGTGTGTGTGTGTGTGTGTGTGTGTGTGTGTGTGTGTGTAATGCGACAGTGAAGCCATCAAATTTCCTAAATAAAAAATGAAACCACAAAGCAGGCCTACAAGAGCACGCCCCTCACCCCTTTCCTCTCCCTCACGCCCCCAACCCGTCTCTCATCTCTCCCTCCCTTCCAAACGCCCCTATCACCACCGCCCATAGCCTCCCAACACCCGCCCCTCCCACGCCCGCCCCCACAACAGACCCCCCGAGGACCTGCAGCGGTACTAAGTGCCTGGGGAAAAGATTAATGTACATGGGCTTAAAAACGCGAGAGTGCAGGACGTCGTGTTATTCTTTGGCATGTTTACAGCGGGCTAGTTTGTTTATCTGCCGTCCGATGGCGCTGACTGACGCTGTCCCGTCCGTGTGCTCCTTGGCGGGCCGTCTCAACAGTTTCATCCGCCCCTTCCCTCGAGGCGCTTCTTGTTGGCTTGCTCTTGTTCATTTTTAGCTTCGTTTTTAATGGCTCCCCTTTCGTGTAATTATTATTTTTTCTCTCTAGTTTTGATCGCTTGTCTCGGTTTTTATTTCGGGTTCTTTGGGTCATCGTTGTTATTGTGTTCTTGGTTGAAGGGGGTTCTTATTTTTTTCCATATTATCCTTCCATCAGCATTTCAGATTGTCATTTTTCTTAATTCTCTTCTCTCTCTCTCTCTCTCTCTCTCTCTCTCTCTCTCTCTCTCTCTCTCTCTCTCTCCTCTCTCTCTCCTCTCTCCCTCTCCCTCTCTCTCCCTCTCTCTCCCTCTCCCTCTCCCTCTCCCTCTCTCTCTCTCTCTCTCTCTCACACACACACACACACACACAACACACTCATCTCTTTCCGATTGATCTCCCTCTCCTCCACCCCCATTCCTCCCCCCAGCCCCTAGCCCCCCTCCATATATCCGTACTCTTCTTTTTCTTTTTCTTCCTCCTCCTCCCTCCCTCCCCCTTCCCCCTCCCCCTCCGTCCCCCTTCCCAAACTCTCCCCTTCCCCCCTCCCCTCCCTCCCTCCCCCCCTCAACTCCCTATCTTCCTCTCTAACTCCCCCCCCTTATCCCTAACCCCTCCATACCCCATACCCCCCCCCCCCCCCCTCCTCTCTCTGACATGCACGTAGTTGAGGTGTCTGCTCATCCATCACCGTCTGCGTGCACATACAACATCCGCACATCGCATTCTTATCAGCAACGCACGTACTTCTGCACGTGAATATGCATATATGTATTTATATTCTTACAAATAAGTACATGCCCCTGTGTGTGTGTGTACAGGTGTGGGGTTTCACCAAGAGTGCTTCTCAATGTATACATATTTATGTATTTATTCAGGTATTTGATGGATGGCTCTGTTCGTGTACGTTTATTTGTGTGTGTGTGTGTGTGTGTGTGTGTGTGTGTGTGTGTGTGTGTGTGTGTGTGTGTGTGTGTGTGTGTGTGTGTGTGTGTGTGTGTGTGTGTGTGTGTGTGTGTGTGTGTTATTTAGTGAGCGGCGTGTGCGTTGTGTGTGTTGGGTATCCATTTGTATTTGTGTACGTTTTTGAGTATGTATGGAAAGTTTACATAATTGCGAGTGTATGTATGCAAGCGCGTGTATGTGTGTGTGTTGGCGTGCGTATTTGTATGTATATGAGTGAGTGAGTGAGCGTGTGTGTGTGTGTACGTATTTGTATGCATGTGTCTGTATGTGTACGTGTGTGTGTTGTGTGTGTTGCCTCATCACTTCCGGTGGGTGTGTGGATAATTGTCCCTTCTGATAACTCCCGAGGCCGAGACACCAAACTACTGTGACTACTCCTACTCCTCTCCTCTCCTCCTCCTCCTCCATTCTTCCCCTTAAACCCGTGTTCTTAATATCTATTCTTTCATTACCCCTTTCTTTAAAAAAAGTAAAAAAGAAAAAAAAATCAACGTAAGGATAGTGATAAATATATTTAAGAATCACTATATATAAAAAAAATGCAATAAAACTTAACATAATGATAATAGTGATAAATATAACATCAAAAGACAATTAAATTCATTGCCAACGTCTTTTTCAAACCGCACCGTGAGAATAAACAAATACTTAAGCAATAAAACAACGAGAGATATCCCCGCAAGCGATTTAGTGTCTGGCTTGCACTAGTGACGTCAACACCTGATGTCTTGCCGCAGAATCCACGCGGTGGGACTGCAATTGGCTTGTTTTTAGGTAATTGGCAATTTTAAGGATTTAATACTTTGATGGATTTTTTTAATCGATTTTTTCTGATTTTTTTTCTCCATATTTTTTCTTTATATTTTTTCCATATTTTTTTTTTTTTTTTGAGGGTGTTTGTGTTGTATTAGTATATCTGTGTATATTTATGATTATATATTGTTCGTGTTAGGCCATATCTTCTGCTGGCATTTCCCTAATCTCTCTCTCTCTCTCTCTCTCTCTCTCTCTCTCTCTCTCTCTCTCTCTCTCTCTCTCTCTCTCTCTCTCTCTCTCTCTCTCTCTCTCTCTCTCTCTCTCTCTCTCACTCAATCTCTCTATCTCCCTCCCCCCCTCCCTCCTTTAGTCCTTCCTCCCTCCCTCCCTCCCTCCCTCAGCATCCCCCCCCCCAAAGCATCTGCGCGTCTCGTCCATCTCCGAGCAAGCATACCTTCTCACGGTCGCCCTTTTCTCGCCGCCGCCGCCACCGCCACCCACCCACCTCCCGCCACCGCCGCCGCCGCCGCCCATCCGTCCATTGTCACCGCCACTTATCGTTAAGGTGGGTGTTTATCTGGTCCTTCCGCGACTATAAACTTTCGAGATTATAGGGGTTTTTTTTTGTATACGTTACCTTCATAGCTATCATTGGCAACACTGTTGTTAAGATAAAGATGGGACGGGAAGGGGAAGAGAGAAGGAGAGAGAGTGGGATATATATATATATATATATATATATATATATATATATATATATATATATATATATATATATAGAGAGAGAGAGAGAGAGAGAGAGAGAGAGAGAGAGAGAGAGAGAGAGAGAGAGAGAGAGAGAGAGAGAGAGAGAGAGAGAGAGAGAGAGGAGAGAGAAGAGAAAGAAAGAAAAGAGAAAGGAGAGGGGGTGAGAGGAGAGTGAAGGGGATTAAGTAATTGGGTGATGAGAGAGAGGGGGAGAATGAGACAGAGAGAGAGAAAGAAATAGAAGGGGGTCGAGAGACAGATAAATAGGTAGATAGAGAGAGAGAAGGGAGATGAGATAGAGAGAGAGAGAGATCGAAGTAGACCAAGAGCGCGAGGGCGACGAGGCACCAGCGGCAGAAACCTCGACGAGGGCAGAAGGAGGGCGGAGAGCGAGGCATCTCGTTGCAACTTGCACACCGCGATCGTGAGGACGACCCCCCCCTCCCCCCCCCCCTCCCCCTCCTTCGGGGAAAAAAAAGGAAAAGACTCGTAAAGCATGGGATCGAGCGCCCCCCTCCCCCCTCCTCCCCCTCCCCCTCCTTCGCCGTAAGTCAGGAGAAAAAAAGATCCAAGGAAGAGGCGGATCCCGGGCAGCTCGTGTGTATAATCAATTAAGTTGCTGTTGCGTCATAAAATATGTGAGGGGATGGGGGGAGGGGGGGGAGGGAGGAGGCATAAGAAATAAACGCGCTTGTATGTGTGTGTGTGTGTGTGTGTGTGTGTGTGTGTGTCTGATGAGGAGCCTATATCGTTTCT